GAATTCAGGTGTTTATCATTTACTTGGCAGTCAGATTGCGGTGGGCACTGTGGTCTCTCTTCTATCCTCTATAATACCAAGCATTCATTCATTCATTCAAGTGTGTAACATGCACAAGGTATTGTATCAGATGTCAGAAATACTGAGGTTAAGAATGATACATTTTTCTTTTTCCTTCCTTACATTTTCCCCTTTCTATTTTCTTGGGTGGATTTGGGTGTGAACACCAAGGAGACTGATAGAAGGATGGTAGCATTGGAGGCTAAGCAGAGAGTCAGACAAAGGGCTCTGGGGAGCATCCTTTCAGCTGGAAGCAGTCTAGAAGCCTGTATGTATAGTGGAAAGGACTGTGGAGCTAGGCCTGGAAGAAAAGAACTCCCTGGGGAGGATGGAGAGCTTCTTGGGCATGGGCATGGGAGCAGGCTTGAGCCCATCCACACAGGTAGCGGTAGTTCCAGGATGGGGACTTTAGGTCAGAGGCATTAGAATGAAGGGGTGACAAGGTCACATCTGGGCTTTAGGAGTAGGCCTGCAGCATCTGGCTGGGGATAGAAAGGAAAAAGAAGGGAGTGGAGTCAGGGAGACCAAGGAGGAAGCTGTTGCAGTAGTCCAGCTGAGAGGTAGTGGGGTCCGGCCTCACACCAGTTTCTCAGTAGTTGATTAAGAATTTCATTGTTGGCCTGTCTCAGCCTTCTTCGTTACCTCTCATGCCCCTGCAGTTGGGAGACGCCCAGCAATTCAGAGAGCTAGACCACGAGTGAGTTTACAGCTAAAGCCACCAGGTGGGGCAAGAACACAAGAGCCTTGGCCCTTCTCGGCAGGTGGCCTGGGGCCCTTTCCTGTTCTGCCTGCAGCTTTCCCCCTCAGAGACTCAGACCCTACTCTGCTGGAGGCTGGGGGTGGGGTGGGGGGGCAATTCTAGGGTACTGGCAGGTGGGACTGAAGAGGAAACCCACATACTCAGGTCTGCCATGTGCCAAGAAACGTGCCCTCCTGGAACCTTCTGGAACAAGGAAATGTATTTAAGTGCAGCTGAGGGAAATGCCTTCCAGAGGACAGGGAGCTTCAAGCCAAGCTTTGAAGATGAGAGACCTGTGAAGCCAAGGTAAGGGGGAGACTGCCTTCCAGACATGGGTTACAAAGAGCGGGCAGATTGGTTTGGTTGGTATGCACTGAGTAAGAATTGGTGGCGATGAGAAATCAGGCTAGAAACAGATGTGGAAGCCAGACTGAGAAGAGCCTTAAAGGCCAGGCGGAGGGCTTGACATGTTCACGTTGTCTTAGACGCAACAGGGAGCCATTGAAGGTTGTTGAATGTTGCTCTACCATAGAAAAGCTTACTCAGATATTAGACAGTTACTGGGCCATGGTCTACCTGGGACTGAGACCCCCAAATCAAGGTCAAGGATCAGACAAATGGCATTCCTTTGGCAAAACATTGTTAAAAGGGTACTTCCTTTTCTTGAAATGAGCCCTACTCCAGTCTGGTTAGTGTTGCTTTAGCTGATATGAAAAATATACTAGCACAGGGGTGGCATTCCTCAAGAATTTAGAATCCAGTTGCAAAAACTCACGGGACTGGGTTAATCTGTCAGAGGAGCCAGAGAAAAGGCACCGAGGCCAGCAAAGGGCAGTAGCTGCTAACAACACCAGTTTAATGAGGGGCACATTTTAGGCCCCCTCCCTTCCCCAGAACAAGAGCCGCTTCATCTCTATCTTTGTAGCCCCAGACTCTTGCCCATGGGAGACACTGAATGCCTGCTTTTTGTGTTGGATTTCGATAAGTCATTTCCTAGCAACCACCTGGGAGGTGTTAGCATCCATCTTGTGGCTGAACAAAGTAAGACTCAGAAAGGGGCAGTGCATTGTCCACAGCAAGCCAGCAAGAGGCAGAGGTAAAACCCAAACCCAGGTATCATCTCGCCAAGCCACGCCCCCCCAGAGGCTCAAGGATTCCCAGTTCATGGTGTATGTGAGGCAAGATAGAGCTAGAAAGGCAGCTCTGGTGAAGCCCCAGAAACATTGCAACATTGCCTGAGAAGTGGGCCGTGCAAAGCCTCAGATTCTAGGAACACTTGGGTCAGAGGTCATCCAACCCAGCAGCCTCCTTTTCCAGACCAGCAACTGAGGCCCAGAGGGGAAGTGACAAAGCTGGGAAGGGATGTCAGAGTTTCAAAGGAGGCCTGGAGTGGACTAAGAGAAACTTTACCACCTCCTCCATCAAGGGCAATGTAAGCATTTGTCTACATTTTGAAGAAACTTCTAGGCCCTCCAAAATGTGGCCTCACCCTTGACATCATTCCAGGCTTGTCTTACACCATTCCCCTCTGCATTCAGGCAAATGGGACTATTTGTACACTCTCCCACCACCACACCTTTGCCTGTTCTGTTCTCTGTGTCAGTGAGAACCTCCACCCACCTTGTCCCCCATCTAATTCCTCTGTGTTCCTTTAAAGCCCATTTTTTTGGTACTGTCTCACCTGATGCCCAGCTGTAGGTGGTAGGTAGTGGTGAAGATACCATTTTCTACAAGTGTTATGTCATGCCATGCCTGGGGGAGCCAGACTGAAGCAAGGCCAATGCTCCTATGGTTGGTATTCCCAGGCCTTCTGGTTCTCAGGAACCTGGGCTGCCTCTACAGTAGTGGGAGAAGAGGTACAGTGCAGAGGGTAGCGCTGGTTAATGGGCCAAAGACACACATGCCGCTAGCAGTTGGTTGCTAGCGTTGGTGATGACAAGGATAGTAGGTGCCTTCTTCACGGTGGTTTCTCCCTCTTAAGATAGCTATGACTGCCAAGGAGAATCAGGGCCATTCATGGGGGCAGGAGGGAGAGGCTGCCATTCCCAGGGCTCCTTTCTCACTTCATATTAGTTCTCCTGTCACCCCGTGAAGACTGGTCTTGGACAAGCAGGGAAAGGCCCAAAGCAAGAAAGTTGCCTAAAAGTGGGACCAATTGCCTCAGGAGTGGAGGCCTTGAGCAAATGAGAGGCAACAACTTTGAGGGAAATGCAGTGATTCTCAGGCAGGTCCAGGAATTTAGGCCAAGTTCAGAAACAAGGCAGGGACGCTGCTGGCATTCTACAGCCTTGCTGCCTAGCCACTCAGGGCAGCTAACACGAGACTGCGAGGGCCCTCGGTGGCTTCTCTCAGTGACAGCTTGTGTTCAGACCTTTTGGAGAGGACAGAAAGATACCTGTAGAATTCAATGCCCACTCATTCCAATCCCCACTCAGAGGGGATTCAGATGCTCAGGGATTCATTACCCCTGTGACCCTCACCTCACCCCCAATGGCTCAGACACTCCTTCTCTCTCACCCACACTGCAGCAGCAGCAGCAGCCCTGAGAAGGTGCTGTAGAATTTTCAAATGACTAGATATCCAGAGGGTGACAGTTAGTGGCCCTGGAAGCCTGGCATTCTAGAGTATTTGAGGTCCTTGTAGAGTCCAGAAAGGGCTGGGAGTTAGCAGTAAGAGGATGGACATTCAAATCCTGTTTCCCCATTTAACAACTCTTGTGACTTTGGAAAAGGCACAGCCTCCATCCGAGACTCAGTTTCCCTCCCTGTAAAATGAAAGATTTGTACTTGAAGACCTCTGAGGTCCCATTCTACTCTCAATCAGTGATCTCTAGAAAACTAGCTAGGAAGTGTCTGGCCTATTGAAAAGAGAATTCAGTATGACTTATTAGAGAGAATAGACACCCAGATGGAAATGTTCTCTGAAGATGGTCTGCTCCCTGGGAGACGGGGCTCTGGACAAAACAGATGGGAGCCAGCCACTCAGTGTCCCAGCCTCGAGGGTGCTGCCTTTGCCTGTTCTGGTCCCAGGAGAAATGGTTGAGTTCACCTGATTTCCCCTTTCCATTCTTCCAGACAGCTGGAAGGGCATTTGTCCCTTGACACTCACCCTGGCCCCTGCTGAAAGCCTCAGGCCTCCCCTCGCCAATTCCCTTCTCCCTCACAATCACCCCACACCCACTTCATGCCCCTTTGCCAGCTGGGATCCTAGCTCCCAGGAACGAGGAGCCAGGGCCCTCTCTTCATTGGGCAGATGTCTCCCATCCAGATGCAGGCCTTTCCTTCCTATTCTTCAGAATGACATGATGGGTGTCCAGGGTCACAGGCAAAGCTGGTGTCGCAGCCCAGCCTCCCCACCTGGGCCCTAGGGGTCTTGTGAACTGTGGCTGCCTGTTCGGGAAACATGGTCCAGTCTTTCCCAAGCCCGGGTCTCAGTTGGCTCTGCTCAGAATGTGAAAGTCCAAAACAACATTTCGCCTTCCTTGGCTGTCGGCTCCCCCAGTTATACCCCATTGTGATATCCCTCCCCCATATATCCCTCTGCCCCTTGCTCTCCTGGGCCTGATTCCAGGAGACACAGAAGGAAGGAAGATGCCGAAGGTTGGTGGGTTCAGTCCTGGAGACTCAGTCAGTCCTGAACTTCCTCCCTCCTGGGCATCTCCCCAAAGTGGCATCACCCTTGGCACCATTCCAGGCTTGTCTCACCCTGTCCACCTAATCAAGTGCACACTCTCCTACCTTCTTGCTCCCATGTTCTCTGTGCTGGAAATTCCCTCTGCCCATCTTGCAGAATCGTGTGAATTTAGTGACGAACCCTCACAGCCCACATCAGATGCCCTGAGTTCTGGTGTCCTGGGCCCCTCACATATCCTTTATGCAGCCTCAGTTTCCTTATCTCCCCAAACATCCTCATAATGGCCACATCACCTCCTTTCAAAGGGGGAGTCACACCAATGGGGATGCCCATACATGGTGCTCCAAGCACTGCAGATGCCAGGCATTGTTATCATGGTAAGGAAGGGAACAAGCATTTATTAAATGCCTACTGTTCTGGCATGCAGTGCTTTTTACAAATATTTCATTTGATCCTCCCAACAACCCTGAAAGGTAGGTGCTGTTATCCCCATTTTACAGTTGGGGAAACTGAGGCAGACAGAAGCAAAGTGATTTGCCCAAGGTCACACAGCTAGCAAGTGTCTGACGCCAAATTTTAATTCAGGTCTTCTTGACTCCAGGCCTAGAGGTCCGTCTGTGGTGCCACCAGCTGCTTCTCTCACGTATTCGTGAAACATTAAAAAAAGGTGGCTTTGGAATCACATGACCTGGATTCCCATTCCCAGCTCTGCCAGTTTTTACTTAGGTGACTGTGCCTTGTCATTTCATTTCACAGGGCTTCGGTTTCCTGATCTGCAAAGGGAGGAGTTAGACTAGATGAAGGGAGAAATGAAAGAAAGAGCATTTGTGAAGAGCTTACTTATTAGGTGCCAAGCACTGGGCTATGACCTGGGGATCAAAGCAAAAGCCAGATGTTCCTGGCTCTCCAGAAGAACCCCCATTCTGATAGAGACAACCCATACAGGAGGTTCCCCTGGCGGGGCAGATGCCAAGCAGATGGTAAAGCAGCTTCTTTCCCTGGCATCTCCAGTGATAAAATCCTGTCTGACGATGGGCCACATTGGAGAGTGAGAGCTTTATTAGATAGGTCCTTAGCGGCTGCTGATGACAGGGCCTGGGGCATTGGACAGCTAGACAGCTAGACTCAGCAGGGATCAAGTCCTTCCTGACATAATGTTGGGGCCAGTTGTCTGAGAGGAGAGGGCCCCTGCTTTGGCCAGGCCCTCTTGGGATCAGGATGCCACTTACTTGCCTTTTAACTCTGGGTTCCTATCATCCTGTGGAGTTTCCTAAGGGCTGATTTATCTTGGAGGTCAGGGGATAGAACCTAAGCAGGAATGGGAGGCCTCAGTATGGTCATTTCACCTAGTTTGGGGTCCTAGAGAAGAGGCTGAATAACCTCTTTGGGATACAGTAGTTGCAGATAGAGATTCACAGCCAGCTTCAGGATGGATTAAAAGAAATAGTCCCTAGGTGCCCTTAGCACCCAGAGAATCTGTGATTGGGTGACAGGTGTATAAGCCCAGTGCTGGAACAAACCAGGGACGTGGCTGGCATTCTGCAGCCTGGCTGTCTCGCTGCTCAGGACAGCTAACTTGGGGCTTTGCTGGGGCCCTGGGTAGCTAGCTGTTCCATATGGCACTGCATGTTTAGAATGTTTGGTTAGGAGCTCAGAAACATACCTGTGGAATTCAGTACCCGCTGATGCTGGTCCCCAGTCAGAGAGGGCTCCCAGGCTCAGAGATCAGCCGCCAGGCAGGAGGCAAATGGACACTAGGGAAATGGCCCACAGTGAGCCCACAAAGGCAGTGGAGTTGGACAGCCCTGGGCAGAGAGCAGGGGCTTCCCCAAATGATAAGCATTTAAATTATTTTAATTTCTCTAGCCGGAGTTAACTATAGCCACAATAGCTAATAGAAGGATAGAATCCAGAGGGAAGGGGTCCCTAAATTCCAGCTAGTGCAGCATGGGTCCTTCTGCTTCAGCCCAAACAATTCAATTCAACCAGCATTTACAAAGCGCCACTCCGGTGCCAGGCCATGTCTCCCAAGTGCCAGGGACACACAGAGACAAAAACCCCAATAGCTGGACTTTGCTGCACTTGGAATCTCATGAGGCAAAATCCACACACACCATTTGTTGGGGCCCTGCCCTACCATGGCCCTTGTGGCCCCCTCAAGCACCCTGCACTCAAGGATACCAATTATAAGGGGCCCCAGAGGCTGCAGTCCAGCTCTAAGCAGCCCAGTGTCCTTTTGACCGTGTCCTGACTACACAAAATGATGTCTCACCTCTGGGCCTTTGCCCAGGCTGCCCACTCTGTCTGGAGTGCCCTTCACCTCCAGTTAGCCTAATTAAGCCCTCCTCATTTTTCAAGGCCACAGTCACATACCATCTCCTCTGTGAAACCTTTCCCGATTTCTCTGCCCACATAGAACCTTTCCCTCCTGTGTACTAATGTGGCCATCTTCACAATGGTCACAGGGCTTTTCCATTATTCTAGATAGCACTTGCTTGTCTGTATTATCATTATGTCCCTCACTGCAACATCCAAGGGCTGGAAGCCTCCCTCCTCTTCCTCTCTCACTGCCCACTGCAGCAGCCGCCCTGAGGTGATGCTCTAGAATCTTTGAATGACTGGCTATCCAGAGGGTGACAGTTGGGAGCCCAGAAGCCTGGTCTTCTAGGGTAGTGGGGTCCTGGTACAGAGAGGGCTGGGAGATGGGAGTCAGAGGAGATCCATTCAGATCCTGCCTCCCCTTTTTAGAACCACTGTAATTTTGGAAAGGCACATACCTCCACCTGGGCCTCAGTTCTCCTCCTCTGTAAAATGCAAGGTTTGTTACTGAAAGATCTTTGAGGTTCCTCTCTACTCAAAATCTGTGATCCAAGAAAGGCAGATCAGAAGTGTCCAACCTGTTGACGGAGGAATCAAATGGGTCCTATTTGCAAGAATAGCCACTGAAATGGAAAGGTTTTCCAAAACAGGTTCAGTCCCTGGGCTTTGAACACAAAGGATGGGAGAAAGCCACTGAGTGGCTCGACTCAGGGAACACTGCCTTAACCCTTTGGGGATCTAAAACTACCAGCTGCAAGCCCAGTCAGAGGGCATGGCTCCACTCCCTTGGATTTCCCTTTTTGTCCTTTCAGCCAACTGGGCCTTTGTCCCTTTGTGCTGAACTCCCCTGAGCTGAGCCCTGGGGTTAGCCTAATTTCTGTCCTGCTGAGATCCTCAGGCTGAGGCCTCTCCCAGGCAGTCCAGCTGTGCCCCACACCTCACCCTCTACCCCTTCAAGAGCCCAGCTCCCAGGAATGAGGAGCCCCCGGATAGACTAGCATGTGTGAAGTAGGGTTGGCCCTCTCCAAGGATCTCCCATCCAGATGCCAAACTGCATTTCCCTCCCTAGTCTCCAGAATTTCACCAAGGAGGGGGGGCCAGCCAGGGTGACTGGCTTGGCAGGTGTGTGACCACAGCCTATTCTCCTGCCTCGTTAATCTTCTTGTGAACTTTGGGAAACACAGTCCAATCCTCTGCAAACCTTACATAAGAGATATCAAAACACCTTTCTCCTTCCTTGGCAAGTCGATTCCCAGGCCTGGGGAAGACAGTGCTAACATATTTTCTGTCTCATTGCCCTCTAGGACTGAGGCTGTAAGGAGGCCCACTCCTAGCCTTGCTCCCAAGTGAGCCCAGAGAGAAAGAAAGTGCCTACAATGGAGGGCTCAGTCCTGGGAACCTCTCCTCTCCAGCTCAAAGTCCGTGGCTTTCTCCTTTTTTGAGCACTTTAACTAGACCCACCACAAAGTGCTGTCACCCTTGGTGTCATTCCAAGGATATCCCACACCATTTCCTACACATTTGACCAAAATGGACACCTTCTCACGGCCACACCACTGCTTGGTCTCTTCTCTATGCCTAGAATTGCCTTCACCCACTTTGCTACTTATTGAATTCTCTATGATCCTTGAAGGACCGCCTTAGATGCCATGAATGCTGGCGTAATGCCCATCAAGAAGATCCCTTCCCCCTCATCCTTCCCTTATGGAATCTAAGGTTCCCCATCTGTAAAAATGTCCTAATAATGGTGCAAGCACCTACTCACAGGATTGTCAGGAGGCGCAAAAGAGAACAGACGTGCACGTGCATGTATACACATTTATGATGATGCCTGGCAAACAAACTTCCTTCAAGCTCTGTATGTGTCAGCCATTGCTTTAATGACCCTTTCTTTGCATCTCTAATGGACTCGTAAAGCATGAGAAGACCAGTGATTTTGCAATCACACGACCTGGATTCCCATTCTTAGCTATGCCAACGTTCACCTATGTGACTCTGCCTTGTTGCTTCATTTCACGGGGCCTCAGTTTCCTGATCTGTAAATGAGGGCCTTAGGTTAGATGAAGGGATGAATGAAGGGGAAAGCATTGAAAGGCTTGCCATGTGCCAAGCACTGGGGATCCAAGTAGCAAAGGCAGACAGCCGTGCTCTTAGGGGAGACCCCCCACAAATGAGGTAGGTCGCAATGGGCAGACGTGAAGCATCTACTTTCCTGGCATTTCCGGCGATGAAACCATACCTCTTTCTGATGTCTTCATACTTGAGTTTGAACCAGGCGCGCGCATGTTGAAATCTTTCTTGGCTGGCTTTTCGATGTCTGCTGGACAGCTTGGGCCTGCAGTAGCCTCCAGTGGACTTGTCAGCAGGGCAGTCCTCCTCAGGGTGGCATTGGGGGTCAGGTTGGAAGCAAGGCCAGTAGTCGGGGATGTGGGGCTAACAGAGGACTGGCACACTGTTCCTAATGCCAAGGATTCCTGACACCAGACTGTCTGTGCAGGGGCTGAGAGGACATGGTAGAAGTGGGGTTTTTTGGCCAAGAACACATTCGTTCTTTCTCACTCTTGGGAACCTTCCTTACTTGAGTTCCCTGTGTTGGCTGCCCAGCAGGTGGCAGGTAGTAGACAGTCAGGGTGGGTGGTGGCAGGGATGCCAAGTCCCTTCTCCACAGTAGTTATACCCCTCTAAGATGGCTAGAAGGGAGCCAGTGGTCCAGTAGCAGATATTGGGCTTCCCAACGCCCTTGGGGTGAGGAGGACACTAAGTCTCCCTCCATTTCTTAATGGCAATTCCGTGTATGTGTGTGTGTGTGTGTGTGTGTGTGTGTGTGTGTGAGGTAGCCTGGGGGCAGATTTAGCCTAGATAGTAGAGGACAGGTCTTAACCAGAGTTCCCCCAAAGTGGAATGAGCCTTTAGCAAAGAATTTAGTGATCACTAGTGCTGGCCCCAGTCAGAGGGGGCTCACAAAGCTTAAGGCTTCAAGCCTTGCCTGTTCCCCTCCCACTCCCCCCACCCCCAGTCACCGGGCAGGGCCTGGCAGATGGTCACTAGGGAACAGCCCATTGTGAGCACACAGAGGCAGTGAGGTCAAGCAGCCTGGGCCAGAGAACGGGGAAGTCCCCAAATGGTAAACACTGAATTCATTTTCATTTCCCTAGCCCCCCATTTCCAATAGTCCCAGATTGAATGGTTGTATTAGCTCAAAGGATAGAATCTTCTAAGGAAATGGGACAGGCATTTCTGAGGTTTCCCAATCCCAACTTCCCCTGGAGCTGTGGCCCTGACAATTCTGGTCATTTCAATTAAATTCATTTCTTTTTTTGTTTGGTTGGTTGTTTGTTTGGTTTTTTTTTTTAAGTAATTGGGGTTAAGTGACTTGCCCATGGTCACACAGCTAGTAAGTGTCAAGTGTTTGGTCTGAGGCCAGATTTGAACTCAGGTCCTCCTGGCTTCAGGGCTGGTGCTCTATCCAAATTAAATTCATTTCAAGAAGCATTTGCTGGGTGCTGATCTGATGCCAGGCCTGGTCCTAGGTGGAAGGCATACACTCAGACAAAATCCAAAATAGTTGGAGAGACCTGTGCTTAAAATCCTCCAGGGACAGGGAGCTTCCCAGAAGCCCTAGGAGGCTAAGATTGCTCCTCCAGTCACCCACTGCTATTTGGGACTCCTCCAAATGGGCCCTTCTCAAGCACCCTGGATCCCTGGGGCTAAGGAGACCAAGTGTTCTTCCTCTTCCACCTGACAGCCCTTCCAGTATGATAGCACCTCACCCCTCTCATCCCAGGCCCATAGCCTGCAGGGTGGCTCAAACCTGTGTCCTTCCCCTAACCTCACACTGTTCTCCTTCATGTACCCTTGTGTTCTAGCCAGCCCTGGCTACAGCATATGGTTTCCTACCTCTGGGCCTTTGGCCATGCTGGAGTATGGTATCCATCTGGAGTACACTTCACCACCCAGTCATACAAATTCAGTCCTACCCATGTTTAAAGGACCACAGTCACACGCCATCTCCTCTATGAAGCCTTTCTGCAATCTTTCCCTCCTTCGGATTAAAGCAGCTCTTCTCACATGCTTTGTAGAACTATCACATGATGCTAGGTATATAGAACCATTTTGTCCCTCACCTGACTCCTGCGAGTTGAGACCCTGCCTCCTCATCTCTCTTATTGCTCCCTGCAGCAGCAGCAGCCCCAAAGGAAGTGGAATGCCTGGCTGCCCAAAGGGTGACAGTGAGCGGCCCTGGAGAAAAGCTGGCATTCTAGGATGTTGGGGTCCTGGTACAGTCGAAAGGGGGATGTATGTTAGGAGTTAGAGCATATATGTATTCAAATCCTGTCTCCTTTTTTAACAATGTTTGGGATTTTTGGAAAAGGCAGAGAACTGGCTCTGGGCCTCAGTTTTCCTCCTTGTGAAATGAAAGGCTTGCACTAGAAGACCTCTGAGTTCCATTTTTGCTCTAAATCCACAATTCTAGAAAGCAGATTGTGTCTGGCTTATTGAAAAGGGAATTAAGTGTGTTGTCAGGAAGAACAGGATATGAAATGAACATTGTGTCAAAAGATGGCTTAGTCATAGAGAGAGAGGATTTTGACCAAAAAGGATGGGAAACAGCCACTGAGAAGCCTTACCTTTTGGACTCTCAGAAACACCCCATCTATGGAATGGCTCAGGTCACTTGGACTTGACTTTAAGGCACTACACATCTGGACTTTTTTCCTAACTGAGAACACTTCCTGATCTGAGCCCTGGGTTTGACCCTTCCTCCCTGCTGAGAGCCTCAGGTCTCCCTTAGCCAACACTCCATTTCCATAGCTCCTCCTTGGCCCCTTCAGATCTCAGGAGCCCCTGGGTAGATGACCACATCTGAAGCACAGCTGGCCCTCTTTTCCATCCAGATGTTGGCCTCTTACTTTCCCTACCTAGTCTCTAGAACAACAGGATTAGGGGCTGAGGTTCTGCCTGGTTGCCTCTCCAGCTGCCTAACCTGGGGCTCCACTGAGGCCCTGGGCAGCTGGTCTGTGGGACCCTGTGTTTTCAGACAGTTTGTACTGGAGGGCAGAAACAGACTGTGGAATTCAGTGCCCATTGGTGTTGGTCCCCACTAGGGGTGGGGGGGGGGGACTCAGAGGTTCAGGAATCAGCCACCAGACAGGAGGTAAATGGTCACTAGGGAACAATGGTGAACACACAAAGGCAGTGACGGTGGGCAGCCCGGGGCAGAGAGCAGAGGCTTCTCCAAATGGTATGAACATTGAATTCACTTTCATTTCTCTGGTCAGTTACCAATAGGCTTCATCATCTGATAGTGTGTCATCCCACTCAGCCCACCCAGCCCAGATCAACAGTGCACAGTTTGACCACAGGCCCTGTCTCCCTCCAGAATCACCCACTATCACTTCAGGAATTCCTCTAGGGTCTCATCAGACTGCACAATATGATTCCCACCTCCAGGCTTTTGTCAATGGAATTCCTAAATCTCCAAGCAGCCTAATTCAGTCCTAACCAGGTTACTACGGTAGGTGCTCTAAAGCCTGTGAATGACTGGATGTCCAGGCAGAGGGTGAGTTAGAGGCCCTGGAAGCCTGGAATTCTAGGGTGCTGGGGTCCTGGTAGAGAACAGAGATGGCTGGAGGTTGAGAATTAGAGGGTGGAATTCAAATCCTGCCTCCTTTTATACAGTTCTTATGATGTAGGAAAAGGCATGGATCTTCTCCTGGGCCTCAGTCTCCCCCTCTGTAAAATGAAAGGTTTGTACTAGAAGGCCTCTGAGGACAGGCTTGGTAGGCTCCAGACCTCACCCCCTACAGGCCAGGACAAAGCCTGCTGGTTGGTCTCCCTGCCTCATCTCCCCCTGCTCCAGTCCATCCTACACACACACACACACACACACACACACACGGCCTGGCTCCTTCCTATCTTTCATGTCTCCTTCCACATACTCTGTGATGCTGGTGTCCCTGTTGTTCCTCACCCAGGATCCCCGCTGCGTCTCTCTGGCCATCCTCCAGGCCAGGACTGTGATCTCGCTCCTTCTCTCGTCCTCCTGGCTTCAGTGGCCCCCTTCGTGGCTCAGCTACAGTCCAACCTACTTCAAGAAGCCTTTGGAGCTCCTCCTGAAACTCAGTGCCTTCCCTCTGAGAACATCAGCTATTGAGCTTAGATAAATCTCCCCCATTAGACTGTAAGCTCCTTGAAAGGCAGGGAAGGTGTTTTGCCATTCCTTGTATCTCCACCCCCCTTCCCCCAAATGCTTAACACAGTGACTGGCACAGAGTAGGAAGTTAATAAAGCTTGTTGATTTGACTTGACTCACCTGCCCTTCTGGTCCTCTTGTGAACTCTGGGTGCCCCTTTGAGGAATGCGGTCCAATGTTTTCAAGCCTATTTGGCTCCTCTTAGAATGGGAGATCCCAAAACATCATTTCTCCTTTCTTGACCCGTCAGCTCCCCAACTGAGAAATGCACTGTGTTGACCTACTGTGTGTCTTTGCTCCTTGCCCTCCAGGGTTCAGGCAGCCCCAAGACCTCCACATGGACCTGCTTCCAGTGGCCCCAGAAGGAAGGAAGATGCCAGAGGAGGGAGGGGTCAATCCTGGGAAACTCAGTCCTAACTCAGGCTCTTCTCTCAAGTGCAAGGTCAGTGGACTTCTGCTGTTTGGAGGAGCTGAACTAGACCTACCAGTCAGTCGCTTGACAAGCTTTTATTAAATACCTCTTCTGTGCTAAGGGCTGGGGATGTGAAGAAAGGCAAAGTGCCATCCATGCCCCCAAGGACCTCCCAGTCTAATGGGGGACACAATATGAAAACAACTCTGCACCAACAAGATGGCCCCAGAAGAAAGTGGGGACAGTCTCAGAAGGAGGGTGTTAGCATAAGGGGATCAGGAAAGGCTTCTCACAGAAGGCAGGTTTTTAGCTAGAACTTGAAGGAAGCCAGAGAAACCAGAAGGCCGAGATGAGAAGGGAGAGCATTCTGGGCATGGCAGACAGCCAGAGCAAATGCCCTGAGTCAGGAGATGTGGGACAGCCAGGAAGCCATTGTAGAGGATGTAGATGGTATAAGAAACCTGCAAAGGTAGGAAGGGGCCACTTCGTGATGGGTTTTAAAAGGGCTTTGAATATCAGAGGATTTTGTATTTGACCCTTCAGGTGATAGGGAACCCCTGGAGTACAGGGGAGTGACTTGGCCAAGTCAGGCAGATTAATTTGGCGACTGAGTGGAGGATGGACCTCACCAATGATGCCAAGCCTGGGCATTATTCCAGGCTTGTTTCCCAGAATTCCCCTCAGCATAGGGTGAACACTTCAGACATCCCAGAGCAGAGAACACGAGCTGTCTCCAGCCCTAACAATTCATTTCACTTCAATTCAGTAAGCATTTATTAGGTATGAAGCTGGTTCATGGCACTGTCATGGGTGCTACCAATCCACAGAGAGCAAGCCAAAACAGTTGGAGCAGCCTGGGCTTGAAAGTGGCTTGAGTGGGCTAAGGTACTCCCCCCTCGGCAGAGTGCCCTTTCACATTGCCCTTGGCCTTTCAGATTTGGCTCAGCCCAAACAGGCCCTTCTCTCTCACCCCAATCCCTGGAGCTAAGGAGACCGAGTGTTCTCCGCATTCTACCTGACAGCCCTTCCAATACGATGGTGCCCCAGTCCTCTCATCCCAGGCCCAGAGCCTGTACTCTGGCTCCAAGTCGTTTTTCTCCTTCCTTCCTTCCTTCTTCTTCTTCTTCTCTTCTTCTTCTTCTTCTTCTTCTTCTTCTTCTTCTTCTTCTTCTTCTTCTTCTTCTTTTGCTTTTTTTTGTTTTGGTTTGGTTTGGTTTTGGTTTTTTTGGCAATTGGGGTTAAGTGACTCCCCTTCCTTCTAACCTTATACTATTTATGCCCCTTCATGTCCTCATGTTCCTTATGTTCTAGCCAGACAGGACTACTGACAGTTTCCTGAGTACACAATATGGTTTCCAAACCACCTCTGGGCCTTTGTCCATGCTGTCCCTCACCCCACCCCCCAAGGGCTAGGAC